CAGGACTGGGAGATCATGACCTGAGCCAAAATCAAGAGTTGGACACTCAACAGACTGAATCACCCAGGCACCTGAAGAGTTTACTTAAAAAAAAAAAAAAAGAGAGAGAGAGAATAATGTTCAAATATGGTAAAAGGAAGATTAATGTAACTGTTCTTCAAAAGGTATGTTAAGAAAAATTAGTCAAAACTTTGTAAGAGGTAAAAAAAAAAAAGACTATCAGGTACTAAGAGCAGTGTTATTGTACCTGTACCACTGATTGGCTGAAAGAATTTTTTCTTCAAATTCTATTAAAAAGTTTTAGCATCTTACTGGTTTCCTCAGTTATTTACATAAAAATCTTGAATTATATATATGCATAAAAGTCAATTCTTTAACTTTAAAAAACTCATATTTTGGCTCAGTGATAAGCCAAGTTTTTCTGTAAAGAGCCAGATAAACAATATGTTAGGCTTTAGGGGTCGCTGGTTTATGTAGGAATTTTTCAATTCTGCCTTTATAAGCTCAAAAGCAGCCACAGACAAGGAAAATGAATGGGTGTGGCTGTCCCCAATAAAACTTTATTTACAAAAACAGGCAGTGGGCCCAAATTGGCAAAATAAAAATAAAAAAAAGAATCAGTAAACATCTAGTAAAAAAATGTAAGGGAAAAGAAAGAAAGGAAGGAAGGGAAGAAGGAGAAAGGAAGAAGGAAAGAAAAGAAAGAAAGGGCACCTGGTTGGCTCAGTCAGTCATGAGACTCTTGATCTTGGGATCCTAAGTTCAAGCCCCAGCCTACATTGGGTGTAGAGCTTACATTTAAAAAAAGAAAGAAAAAAAGGTTAAGAAATGAGAGAAAAGGCACAAATAACCAATCTACACTGACAGGAAATGTGTAGAAGACAGTAGTATTTAAAATTTGAATTAAATTTTATGCCAATAAACTTGAAAATATAGATGAAATGAACCAAATTCTGGCAAAAATGTAACTTTCTATAAATAACTTAAGATGAAATAGAGAATTGAATAATTCTTTAACCATTAAACATGTCAGATTAGTACTTAAAAATCTTCCCCACAACTCCATTACAGGCCCAGGTAATTTTAGCTACCATTCTACCAAACATTCAAGAAACATAGTTCTAATCACACAGTAACTATTTCAGTGTATCTAAAAAATGAAGGGAGTATATATTTTATAAGACTAGACCAACTGTGATATTAAAACATGAAATAGTATGAAAAAGAAAAAAGAATTAATTATTCATGAATATACATGAAAACAGTCTAGACAACAGTAATTAACCAAACAGCAATTTATAAAAAATGTGATATAACATGACAGAACTAGATTTATTTCAAGAATGAAAAACTGGTTTAACAGAAAATCACTGTAATTTCCACATTAACAGAATGGTAAAAATAAAGATGGTTTCAATAAATACCGAAAAAAATATGTGATAAATCAACACTGTGAAAGAAGGTCATCAGGAAGACTTGACTTCCAGCAGACCCTTCAGCTGGACGCAGGGAACTGGAGGCTCCCTGCCCCTCCCCTGTTACTGGAATGTGTTTCACATGAACGCTCTATTCCCAGAAGCTGCTCCAAGAATACAGCTTTGAGACAGAAATGTGGTATTGAGGCTATCTGGACTGGGTACATGACTGAGCCCAGTTAAGGCCTCCTGTATACATGACAGTTACCTAAACATAGTTAAGGTCTGTATATAAACTTTTACTTATGATTCTGGCATAGAGATCTACTCATCCTGCAGCCACCCAGGACAATCCTCATTCAGAAGTTCCCTTGTTTATGAAACCTGCCACCTACCCATCTGGAGTGGTCTCTTTCTTCAGTCTCTTCCTGCCCTCTGTGTACAGAGGGGCAGTAGTGTTACTTACATGTTTTAAGTTTATTTATTTTGAGACAGAGTGCATGTGTGACAGGAGAGGGGAGAGAGGGAGAGGGAGGAAGAGAGAGAGACAGAGAGAATATCCCAAGCAGGCTCCGAATTTTCACTGTAGAGCCTGACATGGGGCTCGATCTTAAGAACCATGAGATCATTGACCTGACAAAAAATCAAGAGCCAGACACTTAACTGACTGAGCCATCCAGGCACCCCATACATGGGGCACAGTTTTAGATTATGCTTTAGAACCTCCGCAGGGAGTTACAAACCAACACCATTTTTAGAGAGAATTTCCTTAATGTTAAAGAAGTAAAGGGTTATCTATTAAAACATTTACCAAATGATACTTCATGGTAAAAAAGCATTTTCTTTAGAAACGGGAAAGTGGTAAGTGAACACTCTATTACTACTTCTATTCAACTGTATTTTTTTGAGGTCCAGGACAGCACTGTAAAGCAAGAAAACAATTTCAAAATATAAAGACTAGAAAGGTAGAAACAAAACCATTACTATTAGCAAATAATATATTTTTTATATGGAAAACCTCAAAGAATCCATAAATGCTAAGGGAATTGGCAGTATTACTGTATATATATAGTATATAAAATACACACCACAAATACATCTGAAATTACATAATTTTAAGAAAAAAATATAATAGTTTCGAAACATATAAAGTACCCTAGAATAATCCTACAAAGATGTTTGAGACTGTTATGGGAACATCTCTAAAACTTTATTCATTCAATGTAATCTCTATCAAAATACAGTATTTTGTGTGTGTACTTTACAAGTGCTTTTATAGTTTATATGGAAGACCAAAGGGTTATGAACTGAACACCCACCTGAGTAACAGAAGTAAGAGACTTTTCTTAGTATAGAGCTAAGGTAATTAAGATCACGTGAAAATACCATAAAAGAGACCACCTATAGACTAGAACAATGCCTAGAATTGGTACCAAATATGTGGAAATTTGTTTTGTAAGAGAATTTTGTGTCATCAACTGGCAAGAAGAGGACGGAGTTTTTCACTAAAGGGTTCTGAGACAAGCAATGATCAAAATGAGGGGAAAATGAAGTCAAAGACCTATCTTACACCAATTAAAATAAATTCTGAATAGAATGAAAACTATAAACAAAAGAACAACTTTGAAAATTTAAAACAATCTATAGGGACGTCTGGGTGACTCAGTCGGTTAAGCGACTGACTTCAGCTCAGGTCATGATCTCACAGTTTGTGAGTTCAAGCCCCATGTCGGGCTCTGTGTTGAGAGCTCGCTAGGATCCTGGAACCTGCTTCAGATTCTGTATCTCCTTCTCTCTCTGCCCCTCCCCCACTTGTGCTCTCTCTCTGACTCTCAAAAATAAATAAATGTTAACAACAACAAAAAAACCCTATAAACCTATAAAAAAAAAAAGCTATAAACATAGCTTTGACTTTGTACAGAGAAATTTTTTTACAAGCATTAACAAAAGAAAACAATGATTAATTCAACTACGTTAACTAGGTAATTAAAAAAGATACACATTTTTTTATTCTGTATACATATTTTACACTCTTCACTTAATATCTGAACCAAGTAAAATTTATTTATTTAACCTATTAACTTACATTATATTTGCTGGACAATATGTAAACACAAGCATAAAGAATGAAGAACAAATGAGGAATGTTGTGGGAATAATAGGAGGCTGCACTGCACTTAATATGGGGCAGTTACTTCTTTTGCTATAAGCTGCTGAGAAACTGAAAAAGCAATACTCATACACTTCTCTCTTTCTACTTCAGATACATGAGAGATAAAAAAAATTCCAAAGCTAACTTATGTCAAAAGACTATATCCGTGGTACCTAGGTGGCTCAGTTGGTTGAGTGTCTGACTTCGGCTTAGGTCCTTAACTTACAGTTCATGGGTTCCAGCCCCCCAGGAGACTTTTGCGCAGACAGTGTGGAGACTGCTTCAGATTCTCTGTCTCCTTCCCTCTCTGCCCCTCCCCCACTTGTGCACACTTTCTCTCTCTCTCAAAAATAAACATTAAAAAAACCTACAACTATATCCATGATGAGTTTTATTATTCAGAGGACCCAGTAGAAGACATATTTTCTCTTGAGTCACCAAACCCAGAACAAAGTAAATTATCACTAATCTAAAATGTAATAATACAATTCCATGATCCATGAAAGTTTTTGCTCACCATTATATCCCCAGACCTAGGCTAGCTCCTCACACATAGTGGATGCTTAATACATATTTTCTAATAATTAAACACATAGCTACTGCTAAGGAAAAATACATGTATTTGTCTTCCCAGAAGAAGAGAGTTTAAAAAGCGTAAGGTAGAAAAGGATCAGTGGTTAACTAGGTAAGTATTTATAAATCTGGATAAAGTCACTTTTTTTGTTTCAGAAAAGGGAAATGATATTTCACACAGTCATGTCAGTAATTCAGTAATCAAGAGTTAACAGTAAGTTAATATTATGAGAAATGTATAAATAAGGTTACCTATTTTAATTCTTCCTAAAAATTTTCATTTGTTGACTCCTAAGCCAATATATAAATTCTAGTGAGTCAAAAGAAAGTCAAATTATTCATTTATAGTAACAATAATAAAATCAAAGAAAAGAAGCCACACCTGGAATTTTGGTTATTGTACATCAACAGTTTGATTACTGAACCTAATGAACTCTAATAATTAATTTTAAACAATAAAAAACAGACCTACAAAAGTGTTCTATTATTACATGTTCCACAACACAGATACAGGCAATCAATTTTTTTTAACAAACAATTTTAAGTAACATATTCACTTAGTGTAATATAGCACTGATGCAGTTATGTATTTCTCTCAAACTGTTTTTAGCCATGTAAAGGTCAGAAATTTTTCTACCACTACATCTGTCTCACCTAAGAGGTAGTGACAGAAAATGACAGCATTTCGCAGAACCATACCTTGGAAAGCTTGAGGAAGGACTTTTTCAATTCACCTTAGTCTGCTGCTCTAAGCGGGCTTCTCCCACTGCAGCACACACCCTGAGTTTCTAAGACATACACACACCCATCTTCTAGTAGGTACTTATACACAAAAAGCAATAGTATTAGAAAATACTTACCAGAAAGATCCACCACTGCCTCATGACTGGAAACAGCTCCTTTCTCAATAAAAAGATCTCGAAAATATTCACTATTAGCTGACAAAACAGATTTATGAGCTTTGTACTCCTCTCCCTCAATTAACAAAGTAACATCACAGAACTGGTTGGAGAGTCTCTGTTCGTTGAGCTGCTTTAAGACAGCCTGACAATGTTTTGGAGAAGAACGTTTCACCACTCCTTTGGTGTCAACCTATCAAAATAAGTTGAAGATCAAGAGTTATATTATCTATTATCTGTACTTCTACCTTTAACAGAACTTAAAATGTGACACATTATTCACTTTTATTTAATTATTTATTTTCTGAAAAATTTTTAAATGTTTTATTTATTTCTGAGAGAGAGTGAGAGAGAGAGAGAGATACAGCGTGAGCAGGGGACGGTCAGAGAGAGAGGGAGAAACAGAATCTGAAACAGCTCCAGGCTCTGAGCTGGCTGTCAGCACAGAGCCCGACGCAGGGCTTGAACCCACGAACCAAGAGATCATGACCTGAGCCGAAGTCAGATGCTTAACCGACTGAGCCACCCAGGCGCCCCAATTATTCACTTTTAAAGGCACCACTAATTAATATGAAGAAATAGCCAGATACTCTTTATTACCTATATGTTTAAATAAAAAGATCATTCTCACTATTTTCTGCTATGTTCCTGCATCTCACTTCTTGCTGCCTCTTCTTACTAGTCAGAAACTTAATGATGTATGAAAGTGATGCGGGTAAAATACAAAGACCTAGCTATTTTTTTTTTTTTAATGTTTATTCATTTTTGAGAAAGAGAGATTGTAAGTGGGGGAAGGCTAGATAGAGGAGGACAGAGGATCCAAAGCAGGCTCTATGGTGACAGCAGTGAGCCTGATGTAGTGATCCCACTAACCATGAAATCATGACTTGAGCCGAAGTCATACACTCAATCTACTGAGCCACCCAGGTGCCCAGCCAGTTTTTTTTTTTTTTTTTAATGTTTTATATATTTCTGAGAGAGAGAGACAGCATGAACAGGGGAGGGTCAGAGAGACGGGGAGATAGAGAATCTGAAACAGGCTCCAGGCTCTGAGCTAGCTGTTAGCACAGAACCCGACGCGGGGCTCGAACCCATGAACCGTGAGATCATGACCTGAGCTGAAGTTGGACGCTTAACCGACTGAGCCACTCAGGCGCCCCACCAATTTTTTTTTTAATGTTTATTTTTGAGAGAGAGAACACAAAGCAGGGCTTGAACTCACAGACTGTGAGATCATGATCCAAGCTGAAGCTGGACACTTAACTGACTGAGCCACCCAGGTGCCCCAAGACCTAGCCAGTTTATTTTACCTTGTTTCATGACCTAAAGATTGCTTCCAGAAACATACTGTCTACCTGTACCAATATACCATTTATTTATTTATTTATTTATTTAATCAATCTTCAGAATGAGAGAAGGAGAGAGCAGGGGAGGGGGCAGAGAGAGAGGAAGAGAGAGAATCCCAAGAAGGCTCTACACTGTCAGTACATAGCGCAACATGGGCCTCAATCTCATGAACCTCAAGATCAGGAGCTGAAATGAAGAGTCCAACACTTAACCCACTGAGCCACCCAGGTGGCCCCACCAATATACCATTTAAAAAGGCAGGAAGCGGGCACCTGGGTGGCTTAGTCAGTTAAGCATCTGACTTTGGCTCATGTCATGATCTCACACTTCTTGAGTTCAAGTCCCATATGTGGCTCTCTGCTCTCAGCACAGAGCCCACTTCAGATCCTCTGTCTTCCTCTCTCTGCTCCTCCTCTGCTCTTGTGGGCACGTACATGTGCTCTCTCAAAAATAAACAAACATTTAAAAAATAAAATAAGGCAGGAAGAATGATTAACAAACCAACAACCTACATTCTAAAGAGAATTAACTACAGGAATATTTATGATTAATGAAAAAGCAATATTAGCATACTTTTAGTGTATGTAATACAGAGTGTATTACCTAAGACAAAGATTTACTTAAATTTTCAACGTCAGTGCCAAGAGTCAAGCAGCTTCGGTACTTTAAGAAAAAATTCAGGAAGAGTACAAATATACTAATACGTTAACTACAAATGTAAAAGCTGAATGGAAAGTTCTACTTACAAATACAAGTTCATGTTTGGATACTGGCTTCTTTTTTGCAGGCTTGGAGGCTGTAGTTGGAGCTGAAGTAAAATTGCTCAGATCATCCTCTGATTCATTACTTTCTTCTCCAGACTCAAGGTCTAGTCCCAATTCTTCTAACATTTCTGAAGTATCTGATATTGGACGGGAACGATCTAGTTTTTCCTGGCATTTGCTACACTGTTTAATGTAATCTTTCACTTGCTTTAATATACCTAGAATACAAATAAAAATTAACAAGTCAAATTTAATACTGTTGTCATTTGAAATTATTTTTGGTTATTTAATCTATAAAAAACTGGTGCTCCAAAATATGTAACAGTGATTTCTTTAGAATGCAAGGTACATTTTTTCACAGATGTAAGGTTATATATGATGGTTTGTTTCCATGCTGATTTTGTTGATTTCTAGTTATTTGCTTCCCCCCCATATGATTACATACCAGTACCCATATCCATGTGAGCTGCAACTCATTCATGCTACAGAAATTATATGAAAATGCCAATATGATCTTCATGAACAATAACATGATGTGATTACCACTCTGCCCTACTATCAACAGGCCTGATCATGCAATTTGCTTTGGTCAAATGGAATATAAATAAATACAATGTGTGCCATATCACAGAAACATTAAGAGGCACTTTTTCTCATCAGTACTCTGATCTTTGTCCCTTCTCTCAAATAACAGCATGTTCCAGATGGATGCCACCATTTAGCCTGAATTGCAGATGAAAAGACAGGTGGAGTGAATTTGCAACCTGAACTACAATCACAACTTGTAATGAGAGTGTAAAATAAATCTCATTTTTGAAAGCTAAGAGATTTTAGCGTTGTATGAAATGACAGTTTTTGTTTTGTTTTGAGTGCTAGGCACATAGCAGGACACAGTATTTTTTTTTTTAAGTTTATTTATTTTGAGAGAGAGAGAAAGCACGAGTGGGGGAGGGGCAGAGAGAGAGAGAGAGAGAGAGAGAGAGAATTCCAAGCAAGTTCCACACTGTTAGCACAGACCCTGATGCAGGACTCTATCTCATGAACCATGAGATCATGACCTGAGCAGAAATCAAGAGTCAGAAGCTTAACCAACTGAGCCACCCAGGCCCCCAGAGCATACACAATCTTAACAAAAGTTGCTTGTACACAATCCACTCACAAAACCCTATTGTGAATTTCAACTTGTAGTTCAGCATGTCAGGGCGGGGCAAGGAGCAGGGAGAATGCTTACACATACCATCTTCCTTGTAAGGTAGGACCAATTAACTATCATTCTACAAATGAGAAGAATGAAGCCTAAGAGGTAAGAAACTTGTCCAAAGTTGCAACTAGTAAAAACTTCATAACTGGGTCTCCAAAAGCCACCTGATTTTCAGTATATTATACTACTTACCCAGGAATACATTTGTCATCATTGTGTCAGAAAATTCTCCCCCTACAATCCCCACATAAAATACAAATGAAAAAAAAAAAAGGCTCATTACTTAGCTAAAATGATACAGAGGTATATAGTAAGTTCCTGAAAACAATTTCAAGATGTCAAATTATACCATGGTTCCTTTTCAACCTTCAGATAATATTCAAGCAGCGTTCCTAAAATTGTATTATGTGCCATACTTACTAAAAAAGTACACACCAGACTAATTCACAAAATTATATTCTCATTTTACACACACATAATGGATATCATATTCAAAGCTCTAAGAGTTCTAAAGTGAAGACAGAGGTTTAAACTGAAATTTGCCAACTTTACTTATTCATAGATCCTTTCCCCACCTCCCCCCCCCCAGAACATAACTCAGAAAATACTTGGTCAGGATTAAATAATATTTCCATAAAAAGGCATTTACATGTGAGTATTTAGAGAATATATTCTAATGTCTGAAAATGCAAAAGTCAATAAAAGTCTATACCTGTATGAAGTATACAGTGAGAAGATGTTTAAAAATGATAAAAAGGCTGGGTGGATATATATTTTACATACAATTGAGGATAAATGGAGGTGCCTGGCTGGCTGAGTTTGTAGAGCATGCCACTTTTGATCTCGTGATCATGGGTTCAAGCCCCACACTGGGTGTAAAGCTTACTTAAAAACAAAAAAAGAAGGAAAGAAAAGAGAAAGAAAAATGAAAAAGATGTTCATTCTCTTTGTAAAAAAAAAAAAAGAGTAAATGAGTTGGGGTGATGAAAAATTTCTGAAGAGTGATGATGGTCACATAATAATGTGAATGTACTCCATGCCCCTGAACTTTACACTTAAAACAGTAAATTTTATATTGTGTATCTTACCACAATAAAAAAAAAAAAAAAGCAAGAGAGTACAAATACAAACTTCCAACTATAAAGAAATCACGGAATAAATCATGGGGATGAAAAGTACAGCATGGACATTAAACAAAAAAACAAACAAAAAGGCACCTGGATGGCTCAGTCAGTTAAGCGTCCGACTTTGGTTCAGGGCATGATCTCACAGTTTGTGGGTTCGAGCCCCGTGCCGGGCTCTGTGCTGACAGCTAGCTCAGAGCCAGAGCCTATTTCAGATTCTGTGTCTCCCTCTCTCTCTCTGACTCTCCCCTGCTCATGCTGTCTTCTCTCTCAGAAATAAATAAAACATTAAACAAAAAAAAGTACAGCATGGAGATATAATCAATAATATGGTAGTAACTTTCTATGGCAATAGATGGCACCTAAGCTTATCATGGTAAACATTTACTACGTATATAATTGTTGAATCACTATGCTATATACACCTGAAACTAATATATTGTATAATATTATAGGCCAACTATACTTCAGTGAAAAGAATAAAAAGGTATATGAAAGGAAGATGACACATGTAATAGAATATATATTTAAAAGTAAAAGAAAAAAAAATACTTAGAGGCGTGCCCTGGGTGGTTCAGTCCGTTAAACGCCCAACTTCAGCTCAGGTCACGATCTCACGGTTCGTGGGTTTGAGCCTGGCGTCGGGCTCTGTGCTGACAGCTAGCTCAGAACCTGGAGCCTGTTTCAGATTCTGTGTCTCCCTCTCTCTCTCTCTGACCCTCCCCTACTCATGCTGTCTCTCTCTCTCCTCTCTCTTTCTCTCTCAGAAAATAAATTTAAAAAACATTAAAAAAACAGATTTAATGATTCAAAACCCTGACCTCTTTGGTTCATCCAGATTTAAGCTGAAAGACTGGCTCAAGATAATCACTAAAAAGACATTAACGTATAAACACAGTTAATTTCCTACATGACTGCAAAGGATTGAAACTACTCATGCAGCAAAATCTGAACCCATGGCAAAACTAGCCAAACCTCTCTGTGCCTATGTGTCATCAATTGCAAAATGGGGATAACGGTACTTACACCATGGTGTTGTTACGATAAATGTTAAAATTTAAAAGCACTCTGAACACTATCTGACACACCGTAGCTACTATGTGTTTGTTAAATACAGCAATACTCACTGATCAACCTCTCTGGTACTGAAAAAGAAAAAAAACAAAAACAAAAACCTCACATAAAACACCAAGTTACCATTAAAAGATTCTTCACTGAGCACAGAATCAAAACAAAGAAAGATGAAAGACTTTAGTGGGTAGTTCTCTAATAAAACAACTTGAGGAACAACTTCTCACTCTAGAGCAGGGTTTCTCAACCTCAGCAGTGTTGACACTGTGGGCCAGATGATTTCTTGCTGGTGGGGGGAGGGGTGTAGAGGGCTGTCCTGTCCATTTTTACTGTATAATGTTCAGATGCATTCCTAACCTCAACCCAACTGGATGTCAATAGCAACCCCTCAACCACCACCACCAGTTATGACAACCATAATTGTCTCCAGACATAGCTAGACATTCCCTGGGAAGTAAAATCATTCCTGGGTCAAGAACCAATGCCTCAGAGATCTATTTGCCAAAATGAACAATTTGCTTCTATTGAGGAGCCTGAAATTAAGTCCTCCATTAAGAGCAACCTCTGGCTGCGGCTGCATGTAGCCCAGTTCCAGGAGAAGCTTCAGCTGAAGCCACCCTCAGGACCACCCTTGGATCAGCCAATCAAAAGAAATGTGTAACATTCCTGTGGTCTGAGTCAGGGCTGGGAACTGCAGGTAGTTACTCTGTACAAACCAGCCAATCACTCACCGCTTGCCTAAACCCCAGGTAGGCCCTTTGAGCTCACCTTATAATTGGTCATTTTCAAAGCATTCTCAAAGGTCATGATTGGGTCCCGCCAAGCCAAAAGTAATGGACGCCTCACTGATACTGAATGGTCAAAACTATAACCATGGGTGTTGTACAATTATGATTGGTGCTTATGTGATGATGCTATACGTACAGCGTGTGCACTGTAACACCCCCATCCCTTACCCCATAAAAACCCTGCTCGCTATTGTTCAGGGCTGCTTCTTGCTGCCGCTCTGCCAGTATAGAAGGGTGAGCCCCTGCTAGAGCTTATAATAAAGACCCTTATGTACTTGCATCAGTGTTGGCTCCTTGGAGGTCTCTGGGGACTCGCGATTCGGGCACAACACTATCAGCTGTTCAAGAGCCTCTCTTACTGTCAGTTTTAGATACAATGACCACCCCCAGTTCAGGGGCTCTCAGTTCTAGTTCCATGCTATGTATTCTTCTGTTTTGTTTTCTTCAGAGAGGTTACAAGTGGTAAGTTATAGTTACAAAGGCACAGTTTTTGGTGGATTTTCTAGAGATTACAAACTCTTCTAGACTCTGTAACAGCAGCATCCATTTATCCCATTATTCTAAACAAAAACAAGTCAGTTCTTAGGGTAGGGACTTCTGCAGGTAGCTAATTTGACCTATTACTTTTTTTTTTTTTTTTTTTGGCTAGTTTAATCTTTGTTTCCCCTCCTAATTTCTTTCTTCACATTCTGGAAGCATTTCACTGTAGATACCTATGCATCAGCATCTGATGGAGGCAGGGAAGAGAATCATTTTGAAACTCGAGCACGTATAATATAAAATAAGAGGGCTTATGTGTGTGTTGGGAGGGGGGTGAGAATAATTGTTAACATTTTACATACTGAAATTTGCTATATATAAACTTCTAGGCACTGAAAGACAGTTTTTCAACTGTGCTCAAAGGAGGAAAACTGCTACAAACTTGCCTGAACACTAGAATATATCTTATGACAGCAGCATTCCAAAAAAAAGCAGAATAAATTATGAATCTCCGTAAATTGTCCTTGATACAACTTCTCACTCTGAAATAGTTCTTACTTTGGCATCTACAATGATCAAATCTTTTTTTTTTTTTTTACACAAATAGTTTATTGTCAAATTAGTTTCCACATACAATGATCAAATCTTACTAGTTTTTTTTTTTTTATTTTTTTTTTTTTTTTTTTTTTTTTTTTTTTGGAGAGAGAGAGACAGCGTGAGCAGGGGAGGGTCAGAGAGAGAGGGAGACACAGACTCCGAAACAGGCTCCAGGCTCCGAGCTGGCAGTCAGCACAGAGCCCGATGCGGGGCTTGAACCCACGAACCGCGAGATCATGACCCAAGCGAAAGTCGGACGCTTACCCGACTAAGCCACCCAGGCGCCCCAAATCTTACTAGTTTTCAGATAAACAGTCTACAAGGGCTTTGGAGTATATATATCTCACATAGAAACAAGGAAACAACTCAAGTGTTAATATACTAAGTATCGATATGAATAGCTACTAATTGAGGGCAAATAAAATAAAGTAAAAATAAAATGAATAGCTACTAATTGAGAGCAAACTTCTCAGATGCTTATTATGAATTCTTTTATTATTATTATTTTTAAGCTTTATGCTTAATGTGGAGCTTGAACTCACAACCAAGAGTTATATGTATGCTCTACAGACTACACCAGCCAGGTGCTCCACATTATTATTTTAAAGGAGGTATGACAAAAATAATAAAAGTAATGAGATCAAATAAAAACTCATTACATGTCAACAAAATAGCATTTTATAAAAAATCACTAATTTCCACATAAAAAATTAGTGAAAAGAGGGGTACTGCTTTACATTTTTGAATATCTTTTTAATGTGTGGTTTAACAGAAAACAGATTATCATATATGCTTTTGCAATCAATTTATTGCCATATATGACATGTCACATGGCCTCTGGAAAACTCCACCGCAGACTTGGAAAACAATGAGAAAAGAAGGCAAATAATGCCTTGGAATTATCATGAGAATAATTTTGACTTTGTGGATCTTCTGGAAGGATCTCAGGGTCTCCCTTGCCAGGGGTTCACTACCTTACTGATGACTGGTACTTCAAGAATAGCTGTTCTGGTTGTTTAATGACTTTTAAGTTTTACAATGGTAGACAAACCACAAATGGATATCTTTCATTTTTAAATTAAACATAAACATGGTCTCATGTTTTTTTTTGTTTTTGTCTTTTAAGACCCTACACACCAAAAAACAAACACCCACCCCCCTTCTAAACTGCATTCAATATCATTCACATATCAGAATGAAAATTCTTAACACTAAACCCTTACAGCTCCATATAACAGTGGTTAAAAGCATGAAATCACAAAGATCAGCTGTGTGACCTCTGACCTATATAACCACCTGGTGCTTTTAGTTTTCTCATGTGAAACAGAGATAAATGTTTCCATCTTACATGATTTTATTAAGTGAAAACAAATTAAGGGCTCAGATTATGCCTGCATGTTAAAAGTCTGATCAATGATACTTTTAGCTGTATTATAATTATTAACATGTCATAAGTATTTTAAAAAAAAATGTTTAAGTAATCTCTACCCCCAGAGTAGGGCTCGAACTCAGGACCCCTAGATCAAGAGTCACAAGCTCCACTGACTGAGCCAGCCAGGCTCCCAACATGTCATAAAGAATTAAACCTGAGACATTTGCTCAAGAAAACAACTGTCTGACCAAATTAGCCCTAACAAAACGCAGCAATTACTCCGTATTTATCCTTCACACTTTTGTCCCTTTAGAGGAATTTAATTCAAATTCTGCTTTAAAACAGAAAATGAGAGAATGCATTTAAGAAGAGAGCTGGGTCGTTTTTTGTTTTGTTTTGTTTTTGGAAAACACACAAGAACTCTTTAAGGAACAAAGGAAGGACTACCTAATAGTTTGTCAATTAGGCTTGATGACAAAGTTCAAGAACTGACTTCAGAAATTACTCCGTAGTCGAATTTCTTTAATCACGGATAAGCAACCCACACTAGTAATTTCCCCTGAGCCATAAGGAGACTGATGTTAAAGAATCCTTCCTTTAACAAAACCTCTTATCAGGGCCTGCAAACTTTCACTAATTCTAAGTGAACAGTCTGAACGTGAATCAACTTTGTGGAGGATGAGGGCGGCAAAGAGGCCAAAGACCCTTGACCTCATTTCCTAACCTGGTTCCCAAGTGGTCAAAAAACTTCAGTATTTCCTGTTACAACCACAGTGACCTTAGTGTCAGGGGTATAAATATATATATATATAGTGCCTCACTGTTTCCAAAACGCTTTTTACAGTTTCAAAAGGAAGAGTACGGAATACTCAGTACGATAGGGCATCTGCTATTCTTTACATTGAATTCTTGCCCTAAAATCGAGGCTGAAGACAGTTATTTCCATACGGTCATTTCGAATGAGCTGTGTGATTACATTTTTGCTTATTTACGCCGCAGTAGCACAATTTGAGGAATACGGGCAAGCAGGTCCAGAGAACCTCAAACCCGCAGGCCCAAATCCGAGTTCAAACGGCTGGGGCAAGCTGCCCAAGCTTGAGACAGGCCGTCCCTTCCCCAGACAATCAGCAGGAACAAGATTTTAAAAGGCACAAACGTAGCTCCGCGCGATCGCCTCCCAGGAGCGCGTGGGGAGGGTAGCAGCCGCCGCCTCCGGCGCCGCCGAAGGAGGCGGGCCTGCCGCAGCCCGCACATCCCGGCCCCTCCCGGCGGCAGGCCCGGCCCCCGGGGAAGCCCCCTTCGCCTCGCCCCACCCCGGGCCAGGGCCCGCCCCCAGCTTCCCCGGCCTTCTTCCTGTGGGAAGTGCGGCTCCTTTCGCGTCCCCCACCCTCTCGGCTCCGCCTGGCAGCCACTCCGCCGCGAGCGCAGGCTAGGCGGGCGAGGGGCGTCTGGGACCCTCCAACTCGCTCGTGCGCAGACAGGCCCGCCTCCGACGGCGGGCCTTGCCTGGGCAACAGGCCGCCGCCCACCCCCTCGCCACGGGCGAGGTCCTACCTCGCCACCAGTAAGTCTTGGACAAGTCATGCCAGGTCTGATGCCGGGTGTGGTGAGTGCCGCCCGGGCCCAGGTGCGCCGCCTCGATGAGCCCGCGGCGCCGCTCGGGCTGCAGCACCACTTCCAGCTCCGCGAAGGTCTTGCGGTGCCGCTGCCGCCGCTGGTAGTACAAGGTCCCACCGCGCACCACATAGCAGGCGGCCGCTTTGCGGATTTTACGCTTGACATTGCCCTCCGTGCCCGGAGCATACGGCTCACGCTCGTTTGTCAGGTAGCGAAGAATGGCCCGGTAGCTTTCCTCGCTTGACATCTCTGACGGCGGCTCCCTAAGGGCGCCTGTCAGTGGTGGGGGAGGAAGACAGCGCACTAGCTCCGGACGGATGCAACAGCGGCGGCGACACCGCAGGGAGGAACGGCTTGGCTGTATCTGTGGTGAGTGCTCTTCGACAGCGCCCGCAGCGCGAAGGGAGAACGGACGAGTTGGTAACCAGGGGGAACTGCACTTCTCCAGCGCGCGGGATCCGCTGGCGACTGACAAAATGGCTGCTGCACCACCGGAAGTGACGTGATCAAGGGCAGTGGGTGAGGGGACTGAGTCCTGATTGGAGCGCACAGGCTTTCTGGCTTGATGAAGCCTGCCGAGTGACGTCAGGACTGCGGGCGGACATTTTGGAAGCGGGTAGGCCCTTCCTGGGAGACCGACGCGGCTTTGAGCAGACATCTTAAGTCCTGGCAGTTTCCCTTTTTATTTTTTCCTTCTTTCCCATGCTCTGAGCACGTGTGGGAGTTGGTGGGCTGTTGTTATCCCGTCCGATAGACACCAAGGTGTGGAGGAGTCTTGTTTTTTACCCCAGTTACCTTCTGAGACCCCCGACAACGTAATAGCATAAGATTTTGAGGATCCTAGTAAAATATAAGCCTATGGACACAAGACCAAAGATAGCCACATTTACGTGTAAATTTATTTTGCAGGTAAACGTTTCAAATCTAAGTCCTTCAGTGATAGGAGTTAATAATTTCTAAACTTAAACTTGGCTCCAAATCAGCCATGGAGTAGTTGGGATTTTCCTGCAATGACTGATATATGGGCAGTTTTCTATATTTGAAGGTAATGATGTTGGCAATGAGGAGTAGCTAGCACTCTTACAGCTTTATTTGCATATATTTTTCCGTAAGCGTGGGAGAGGGGAATTCTCCATTTTACACCTAACATTTAACTGAATGCATAAAACGCCAAGGTTACTTGAACTGCCTCTTCCAGTGTGCAGTGCGGGTCCTATTTCTCATCTTTAGCGGATAGCCTGGAGCGATGGCTCATGTCACCCCTCTGTTGGTTGAATCTGTGGCGCAGACAAGACTACAGGCCAGGACTTCGTACTGAACAACTGGGGTCAGGCACTGACAGTGCCTTGCTAGTTCCAGGCCGCCCCACCTCCCCAGCCTGGAGTCTGCAGTCGCTGGGTGACGCTCTCTGACCCTGCACAGACATATTAAAGGGAGCAAACAGCTGAATGCACTGGGCTGAAAAAATAAGGAAGGCACCCAATCTCTGCGGACTTGCGGTTGGGGTTGCAGGAATTAACAGGTGGCTTAGATACTTGAGACAGGATCCTTGAATAAGATTCTTGAATAAGATTCTGGCTGTAGGTACCTGAGCTCCCAGACGTATAGGAAAGACTTAACCACCAAATCAGGGATTTACTTAGGGTCACTCAACCCAGACTGAGACCGCTGAGGAAAGAAGGAATTGGAGGGTAGAAATGCGTCCCTCCCCTCTTTGGAGCGCGTCACCGAAAGCAGATACCCAAATCAACCCTCCAAGAACTGTGCTGGGCCAGAACACCATCATCACTTTTACACTGTGAAATCGACTCCCTTTCAAACTAAATTTATTTATTTAATGTTTTATTTGGGAGAGAGGGGAAGAGAGACACAGAGAGAGAGGGAGAGAGACAGTGTGTGCAGGGGAGAGTCAGAGAGACACACACACAGAATCTGAAGCAGGCTCCAGGCCTGAGCTGTCAGCACAGAGCCTGAAGCGGGGCTCGAACCCAAGAGCCGTGAGATCATTACCTGGGCGGAAGTCGGACGCTTAACCGACTGAGCCACCCAGGCAACCCTTAAAACTACAATTTAAGGGGCAGCTGGCTGGCTCAGTCGGTTAAGCTGCTGACTTCGGTGTAGGTCGTGATCTCATAAGTCTATTCATTAGTTCGAGCCCTACGTTGGGCTCTGTGCTGACACTTCAAAGCCTGGAGCCTGCTTTGGATTGTCTCCCTCCGTCTCTGTCTGTGCCCCTACCCCACTCATGCTGTCTCTCTGCCTCTCAAAAATAAACATTAAAATAGCTGCAACTCTTTAAAACAAAACAAAAAAAAACCCCTAAATTAAAAAAAAATAGAGTTAAATAAAAAGTTAAGTTGTGGAAATGGAGAAGAAAAACTTAAATCCCCCTTCACCCAGTTGGGTTTCTGCCAAAACAACCGTGAAATGCATTTAGAAGCATGCTGTACTTGGATTGCCCTTAGGCCAATGTGGAGAAAAAGGTTTTACAGGTTGTCTAATTGTCTTCCTGAGAAAAGCTAAACTTGCCATCTTTCTAGAACAGGTATTTACTCTTTATTTCTAGTTCCTCCTGGGCTGCAGACTACCCAGGAATCAAGGGCAATCAGAATTGACAGTTTCACCTATTTAAGTCATGTAAGTCAGAAAAAGCAGTGTGTTAAAAGGACATTTTTTTTCCTGTATTCCAAAATTAGAAATCTGTAGCTCCAAATTCAAGTTGGATAGTTTCATTGGTTAAGTTTCCTTGTTCACAGCTAAATAATGGTATTTTCCTTGTAACTTCATAAAGAAAACATTACACATAAAAATGAAAAAAAAGTTTTTCCAAGAAAAATCTTATAGGTCTATAGGCAAGACCAAGTGGATCTTGCATTTTTCAAATGTTTATTCTTTTTAAAAATTTTAATGTTTTTTATTTCTGAGAGAGACAGCGTGAGCAAGGGAGGGCCAGAGAGAGGAGACACAGAATCCAAAGCAGGCTCCAGGCTCTGGACTAGGTGTCAGCAGAGCCTGACACCGAGCTCAAACCCACGAACTGTGAGATCATGACCTGAGCTGAAGTCAGACGCCCAACTGGACTGAGCCACCCAGAGGCCCCTTTAAATGTTTATTCTTGAGAGAGACAGAGTGTGAGCAGAGAGGCAGAGAGAGAGGGAGACACAGAATCTGAAGCAGGCTCCAGGCTCGGAACTGTCAGCAGAGTCCAATTGCGGGTCTTGAACTCATGAACCATGAGCCAAAAGTCGGATGCGCAAATGACTGAGCCACCCAGGTACTCCGGATCTTGCATTTTTAAAGTTGATTTTATTTTAAAATATTTTTATTTATTTCTAGGAGAGAGACAGCGTGAGCAGGGGAGGCCCAGAGAGAGAGGGAGTCACAGACTGAAACAGGCTCCAGGCTCTGAGCTGGCAGTCAGCACAGAGCCCGACGCGCGGCTCGAACCCACGAACCTCGAGATCATGACCTAAGCGAAAGTCGGACGCTTAACCGACTAAGCCACCCAGGTGCCCCTGATTTTAGATTTTTAGTTTTCAATCCCCAAAAGGGTATTTTATTTATTCCCAACACCTAGAATAATGCTTGAATTTATCATGCACTAGACAGAATAATTAATTCTGTCACTTTGGATAGAATGTGGGGGCTTAGGGGAGGAGTGCTGAGGTCTGATTTTTACCTTCACCAAGTATTTCTATATGTAAAAGCATGTTTTTCAAATGAGGATGTGGCTTGTTCATTGTTGTAGTTTTCCAACTTGGCCGTGGCACATAACAGGATTTATTTTTTAATGTTTACTTTTGAGAGAAAGAGCATGAGTGGTGAAGGGACAAAGAGAGGGAGACAGAATCCAAAGCAGGCTGAGAGCTGGGAGATAATGACCTAAGGGAAAAAGTCAGATGCTTAACTGACTTGAGCCACCCAGGTGCCCCAAGATAATCTATATTCTATAGATAAATATAGTTAAGATGTCATTACTACCTAAAGCACTCTACACATTCAATGCAATTCCAATCAAAATTGCACCAGCATACTTCTCCAAACTAGAACAAACTATCCAAAAATTTGTATGGAACCACAAAAGACCCCGAATAGCCAAAGTAACACTGAAAAATAAAACCAAAACGGGAGGTATCACCATCCCAGACTTCAGCCTCTACTACAAAGCTGTCATCCTCAAGACAGTATGGTATTGGCACAGAAACAGACACATAGACCAATGGAACAGAATTGAGAACTCAGAAGTGGACCCAAAAATATACAGCAAACTAATCTTTGACAAAGCAGGAAAGAATATCCAATGGAAAAAAGACAGCCTTTTTAACAGATGGTGTTAGGAGAACTGGACAGCAACATGCAGAAGAATGAAACTAGATCATTTTCTCACACCATGCACAAAAATCAACTCAAAATGGATAAAGGACCTGAACGTGAGACAGGAAACTATCAACACCCTAGAGGAGAAAGCAGGAAACAACCTCCTTGACCTCCACCGCAGCAACTTCTTACTTGACACATCCCCAAAAGCAAGGGAATCAAGAGCAAAAATAAACTGTTGGGACCTCATCAAGATTAAAAGCTTCTGCACAGCCAAGGAAACCACCCAGAAAATTAATAGGCAACCAACGGAATGGGAAAAGATAGTTGCAAATGACATATCAGATAAAGGGTTAATATCCAGAATCTACAAGGAACTCACCAAACTCCACGCCCGAAAAACAAACAACCCAGTGAAGAAATGGGCAGAAGACATGAACAGACACTTCTCCAAAGAGGACATCCAGATGGCCAACAGACACATGAAACGATGCTCAGCATCCCTCCTCATCAGGGAAATACAAATCAAAACCACACTGAGATACCACCTCACACCAGTCAGAGTGGCTAAAATGAGCAAATCAGAGAACTCTAGATGCTGGCGAGGATGTGGAGAAACGGGCACCCTCCTACACTGTTGGTGGGAATGTAAACTGGTACAGCCCCTCTGGAAAACAGTGTGGAGGTTCCTCAGGAAATTAACAATAGAACTCCCCTATGACCCAGCAATAGCACTGCTAGGAATTTACCCAAGGGATCCAGAAATGCTGAGGCATAGGAGCACATGTACCCCAGTGTTCATAGCAGCACTCTCCACAATAGCTAAAACATGGAAAGAGCCTAAGTGTCCATCAACAGATGAATGGATCAAGAAGATGTGGTTTATCTATACCATGGAATACTACATGGCAATGAGAAAGAATGAAATCTGGCCATGTGTAGCAACATGGATGGACCTTGAGGGTGTTATGCTGAGCGAAATAAGTCAGGCAGAGAAGGACAAATATCATATGTTTGCACGTATAGGAGGATTAGGAGGAACTTGACGGAGGAACAAGGGGGGAGAAGGGCGGAAATGGTGGGGGAAAGGGAGAGAGGCAAACCATGACTCTTGAATGCTGACAAAAACTGAGGACTGATGGATGTGGGGGGGAGGGGAGGATGGGCATGGAGTAGGGCACTTTGGGGATGAGCACTGAGTGTTATGTAGAAACTAATTTGACAATAAACTATTTGTAAAAAAAAAAAAATCTATATTCTATAGAAACACAAGCCTATTCTTAACATAAATTATTACTCTTCCTTATCACATTTTTTTTTAATGTTTTATTCATTTCTAGGAGAGAGAGAGAGAGAGACAGCGTGAGCAGGGGAGGGTCAGAGAGGGAGTCACAGACTGAAACAGGCTCCAGGCTCTGAGCTGGCAGTCAGCACAGAGCCCGACGTGGGGCTCGAACCCACGAACTGCGAGACCATGACCTAAGCGAAAGTCGGACGCTTAAACCGACTAAGCCACCCAGGAGCCCCTTCCTTATCACATTTTACACATACTATCTCTTGAATGTCAGCAGGCTACTGAATCTTTTTTTTTTGCAATTTTAACTATGGCTCTAATTCCCAGCTCAACAAACTACTTTGGGAATTTGGAAGCATATTCTATTTTGTGCTAACAAAATTGTACTCTCCATTCAAGCTTATTTTCTGGCAAAAAAAAGAGCAGCTCAATATTAATAGCACAGCTGAAGTTTTTTTAATGTTTACCTTTTAGAGAGAGAGGAGATGGAGAGAGCACGTGAACACACAATTGGGGGAAGGCAGAGAAAGGAGACCATCTGAAGCAGGCTCCTGGCTCTGACCTGTCAGCAGACCCTGATGTGGGGCTTGAACCCACGAACCATTAGACTGTGACCTGAATCGGTCACTTAACCAACTAAGCCACACAGGGCCTCATTAAGCACTTTTTTTTTTAAAGTAGGCTTTGTATGTCCAGTGTGAAGACCAACACTAGGCTTGAGCTCACATCCCTGAGATCAAGATTTGAGACTGAGTTGCAGGCTTAAGCAACTGAGCTACCCAGGTGCCCCAGGTTTTAAGCACTTTCAACTCAGCTAGCAACTACTGGTAATAGGTGAAATACCAGTGAATGAAACAAATATTTACCATGGAAAAGTTGTTCACTCAACAACAAAAATTCCTAAGAAAGATTTACTTTTGGAGAATCTGGATGGCTTAGTTAAGCGTCCTACTCTTGATTTTGGCTCTGGTCATGATACCATGATTCCTGAGATCAAGCCCCTTGCTAGGCTCTGTGCTGATCAACAGAGACTGCTTAGAATTCTCTCTGCTCAGCCCTCATCCCCCACTGATGTGCCTGCACTCTCTGAAAATAAACATTTAAAAAACATTGCATTAAAAAAAAACCTAGGTCTTAAATTCTTACCTCTGTAGTTTAGCTATTACTGTGTAGGCCCAATATGCCTGTTTTGTGCAATTTGTTAAAAAAATTTTTAATGTTTATTTTTGAGAGACAGAACAGGAGTGGGGGAGGAGGGCAGAGAGAGACAGAATCCTAAGCAAGCTCCAGGCTCCAAGCTGTCAGGACAGAGCCTGACTTAGGGCTCGAACTCATGAACTGTTGAGTTCATGACCTCAGCCAAACTCCAACACTTGACTGGGCCACTCAGGCACCTCTGCCTGTTTTTATAGTAAAAAAAAAAAACACCACAATCTAATTATAGTCAGATGTTTATTTAAAAATCTGATCTGCAAACTTAGCGTTTTCCACCAACTCGGGGTGCAGAAACCTTGACAGGCTTCACAATCTTTTGTTTAGGTGCTGCCTTTGTGGGAGCCTGTAAAAAGATTAACATGTTATGTAACATTACTCCATGCAACTTTTTCAATCACCTTTCTTATGTCTAGACTCTCTATCCTAGATTGCTTTCCTTATTAGTTAACTGTGTTCCTATTACTCTTAAGAGCCAGCCATCTCAGGAAAAGTTAAAAGTCCACCTGTATAGAATATGTAAATGAAAAACAAAGATATTATCACAGGTTGGAGGGGTTAAGTGAGAAGACATAACTAAATGCAGTGTGGGATCCTGAACTGTGTCCTAAGAACAGAAAAAGGACATTACTAGTCATCTAAAACCAATGGTTTTGATATTTTTACTATGATTATCGTAACTAGTAACACTGAGAAAAGCTGGGCAAACTCTGTACTACTATTGAAAACTTTTCAAAATAAACTTTAAAAATAAAAGCCACCTTTATTTTCCCCTTCCCCAATTTCTGTCTGGCACCAACAGATTTCACTTGGCTCTGGCAGATGGAGCTCTGAATCAGCTACCCAGGAAACCAGTTAGGAACGTCATTTTCATTGGAGCACTGTACTTAATTCCTTAAAAACTTGAAACTTTTGGGGCACTTGGGTGACTCAGTCAGTTGACTGTCTCTTGATTTCGGCTCTGTTTCATGGGTTTGAGCCCTGAGTTGGGCTCTGCACAGGCAGCACAGAGCCTGTTTGAGTCCCTCTCTCTCAAAATGAATAAACTTAAAAAAATTTGAAACTTTCATTAACCACAATTTGATTAAAAAGTAAATTTTCCTGCCATTTTACTTTAGTATTTTTTAAAGCTTTTATTTCTAAGGAATTTCTATACCCAATGTGGGGTCTGAACTCAACCCCAGGATCCAGTCACATGCTCTAAGGACTCAGACAACCAGGGCCCCTCCCCCTTTTATTTTAAATAAGAAATCCAAGACAATCTCACAATTACCTTAGCAGCAGCCATTGCTGTCTTTTTAGATGCTTGCTTAGCCTTTTTTGCTTCCTTGGCAGCCCTGTGGGATTAAGAATAATTTAAGGCAAAGTGTTTTACTTCGTAAGAATGCAGCTTATTAACAAGGAGCTAGAGTGTTTTAGGGGAAGCAGAATTATCACATTCCTTCCCCATCTGCAATTATTCATAGGGTAAATCCAAAGGGTAAATATCACTAACCACCAAGTCAGCTTAACATAGATTAGAAATTGTACAGCAGCCTTATTTGCATACGGAGTTCCAACAAATCACTAAGTATACACTATAAGCTTCTGCATTATTAAACCTCAAAATTTATGACTGACAGTTTCAATATAGATTCAAATGTCAAAACACAAAATAACATCAGATTCCTATGCCTACAAACTCAATCATAACCTACAATTAATCCCAATAACTGAAATGCTCATAACAAAGGATTCCTTACCTGATGGCTTGTTCTCGTTGAGCCTTCCTAACTTCAGGTTTCTGATTTCTCTTGGCCATTATATCAGCAAGAGATGCACCAGTGATGGCCCTCTGGAATTTGACTGCACGGCGGGTTCTTTTCTTTTGAATTTCTTCCTATGAAACAAAAAGATGGAAGCACACTTATAAACCTTGCTTCATGAACACATATAAAACAATCTTTTAAAATTTATATTTGCCTTAGTGTGCTAGGGCTGATACAACTAAATACTAGACTGAGTAGCTGATAAACAATAGAAATTTCCAACAGTTCTAGAGACTGAAGTCAGGATTCCAGCATGGTCACGTGAGGACCCTCTCTGTGCTGTAGCTGCATCATCATATGTTGGAAGAAGGCAAGAGAGCCCTTTCTTGGGCATTTCTGATAATGGCATTATTGCCATTCCTGAGGGCAGAGCCTCCCAAAGCTCTCACTGTAATACTGTCACCTTGGCAGTTAGGTTTCAACATATTAATTTTAGGAGTATACATTCAGATCACAGCAATATTCAACAAAAAGATAATTCATGCAACCATTTTAAAAAATATAAAAAATATATATATAAAATATTGTAACATGCAGGTAAGTTTTCTAATTACAGACTGGTTAAATTATCTCTTGCAAATCCTGGCCATTTTAAAAAGACAAAGTCAAACTAATGAAGTTATTAGCTGGATAGGACTTACCTCAAAAGTGATTTTAATAAGAGTGTTTATGTTAAAGAATTTACTTCTAGGAAAAAATTACCAAACCTCAACTCACCTATTTTCTTTTTTTAAAGTACTCTCAGTGAAAAAGAAAAAGTCAATTGGAAAATGATTTATGACAAGAAAGCTACCAAGTCTTAGAGAATGTCCAAAAATCAAAACTGTAAAATTCAAACTTTTGCTAAATAAATGATATGTAACATTAAATTGACCATTTTAAAGCATTTTTAAGTGTATAACTCATTGGCATTAAGTACATTCACGATGTTTTGCAACCACCACCACTATCTATCTCTAACTTTTTCATCATTCCAAACCCATATTTCTCCCTCCCCCAGCCTCTGGTAACCTCTACTTTGTCTCTATGAATTTGCCACTACAGAGACCTCACAAAGGTGCAGTCATATAATATTTGTCCTTCTGTGTCTGGCTTCTCTTTTACTTTGCATAATTTCTTCAAGGTTTATCCATATCGGTTGGGTGCCAGCCTTTTAAGGCTGAAAAATATTCCATTGTATGTATGTAACATTTTGTTATCCATTCACCCACCAAATAGGTCATTTGGGCCATTTCCATCTTTTGGCCATTGTGAATAACAGTGCTACGAACATTTGTGTCGAAGTCATCTGTGTTAAGTTCCTGCTTACAGTTCTCTTGGGTACATTCCTAGAGGTGCAGATGCTGGATATAGTTCCACTTAACTTTTTAAGAAACTGCCAAGCCATTTCCACAGTGCTTGCACCATCCTACATTCAGCAATGCACAAGAGTTCCAATTTCTCCACATCCTCAGCAACACTGATAATCCCCCCTCTTTTGAAATCATGATGATCCTAATGAGTATGTCAAGTCTACCTTTATATTAAGTTAAAGAAGTTTTTCCTTCTAAACTAACACAATACCTAGTGACGTCTTTAATCCGCAAGGTGTCAGTAAATACTCCAAGTGTCCTGAATACTATTCTTACTGTCATGGGACTCCAACCTTTCCTCAAAAATGTCCATCACTCTAAAAGAGCACTTCAAAAAGCATTCAGTCTTGACAACAAAACAGCATGCTGTAAGACTCCACTGCTATCTGTCAAGATTAACCCCACAGACATATTCACAACCAAGTTACCGAAGGTAATTTCTACCCAGTGGAAGGAATCCTTTAAATACCTCCATGGCACCCTATAACCCAAATACGCATAATATATCAGGCTCTGGAAAGGCAAGATTTCAAATTTCAACTCAACATTACTGTGAGCTTAAGATGTATAAGGAGACACTATTTTTATCACTCATTTTTTCACTTTTTTTTTTTTTTTACAAATAGTTTATTGTCAAATTAGTTTCTACATAACACTCAGTGCTCATCCCCAAAGTGCCCTCCTTCATGCCCATCCCCCCCTCCCCCCTTCACTTCACTTTTTGATGCATTACAGCTTAAGGGCGCTTTCACATATGGCCCCATTTACCACAAATTTTACAGAGTGGCAACTGATGCTCAGAGTTTAATAAAAACTTAAGAGCCCTCCAATATCAAAGTGCATTTTACTCACCGACTGTCCCTTTTTGTGCTTTCTTCTGTAGAGGACAGTCCAGTTTATCTGCCGAGGATTCCTCTTGGAAAGGAATGCAGACTCGCATTTTGCGTTAAGAAATTGGAAAACCTGTAGTAACAAGTTCAAAGCAGTTACCTACTCTAAACAAGGCAGGAGGCTGAGCTCGAAACTCTTAAGTTCTCTCTCCTCATTTGGCCCACCAAGCCCAAAAGGCTTCTGTCACCCGAACGGCACGGGTGGCACCACCAAGGCCTCTGAGTTCCGCCCCGTCTTATACATAGAGCGGGTAAACGTAAGCTCATTCCGCAGGAAGGGCGGGGTAATCAAATACCAGGAGACCTCTAGCTCCGGTCCCGACTGGGATTCCAGGAGGACTTGGTGCCCGTCATATAGCGAGATATTTCGGTGGTCCATTTCCCGGGACCCAAACTCCTAATTTCCGACCGGACTCCCACTAAATCAAACCTCAGTAACGGTTCACCTAGAGGCTTCTGATCCTAACAACCACTGCACACCAGGGTCCCGGAAAGAAGCCTTTCAGAGACCAAGAACGTTGTTGTAAATGAACACGCTTAGACCGAAATAGACCGGTCTCTCTAAAGAGCAGAAGCAGCGTTTAGTCGACGCGGCCTTTCACCTTCCCGTCGGTCCTGGCGTAGCGCCTCCCATGTCCAGGGTAAATCTTGTACCCACTGAAACTGCACAGCTCGACCCTGTAACAAAAAGCGAAAGCCCATTAGGGAGGGTGTCTACGGCGAGGAGAAGCCAAAGCCAGGGTGCGGGAGAGGTGCTCTGCCCGACGATGAAAGCGGATTGGGACCCAGGACTTTCGCTCACTTCATGGCTGCGGCGGCCGGGAAGAGAAAAAGATGGTGAAGAGAAAGAGAGGATCATGGGAAGAAGCCTTATAAGGCAGTGGGGCAATCTCCTCCCCCAGTTCTCTCCCCTGACTCCGGCGCTCGGTGATGACGTCTATCTCGCCGAGCGACTGATCTGGGTGTTCTCTGGCCCCTCCTTCCTCTGAAGACTGAGCGGGCTCTGTGAGCGAGAAAGTGAACGTCGTTTAGACCGACGGACGGTTGGTTTCTGAGGCCGTCTCTCCTGCGGTCGGGTTTCCTAGAGCCATCGTCCTGCTGCACCGAATGTGAACTCCACATTTTATAGTTTTAGTGATTTGAAGATGATACTCCCAGGTAAAAAAGTCACGTTTTGCCTTCCGTGTTGGCCCATTTCCTCGACCAACAAATTAAACTTCAGTAATTTCACCATTTGCAAACTAGTAGTGACATTTGAACTGTCTCCCACACCTTGCTGATCAAATTGTATATGATGGCCTCTTGCATCAGTTATAATTAACATTCATTGAGTTCTCTTTCTGTGCCAGGAATTGTGCTAAAGCTTTTACATGTTAGTTTTTTCAGTTTACAAAATCTCTATTAACTAAGGCCTGAAGTATTGCAAAATGACACCTGCCTGCCTCGGAAGAGCTAGGTTTCCATTTTTGCCTATTGCAGCCCAGGACCCGGCTGTTGCAATGAGAAGGGCAAAGCCCTTACCTGGACGCTTAGAAAGGAGAGCGCTGCCCAGCCCACTGGGAGGATCAAGTGCCTCAATTGTTTGAGCCCTTCTGTGACGCTAGAAACTAGCATATGATGGAAAGTGGGCAAGAGACAATCGTTGAATTGTGAGTTGGAGCACTTGATTTAGGAAGCAAAAAATGTAATGATTAGTTTATGCTACCGCTATAAAGCCGCTTACTCTGAAAGGATCGGTAAGTGGGTAGTTGAAAAGATTTGTAAAGTCCAATAAAGTGGCTGACTGATGTTAAGAAAGCTGTAGCTACCGTGGCGCCTGGGTGGCTCAGTCGGTTAATCGTGGGACTTGGGCTCAGGTCACGACCTGCAGTTCTTGAATTGGAGCCCGCCTTGGGCTCTGGGCTCTGGCTCAGAGCCTGGAGCTTCTTTTGGTTTCTCTGCCCGTCCCCCCTCACCCCCCCCCCCCGACCCTCCTCTGCTTGTGCTGTCTCTCTCGCTAGTAAGAAAATAAACATTTAAAAAAGAAAGCTGTAGTTTTGTTGAAACCAGTCTTAAGAATTAGTTAATAGGGGGGCGCCTGGCTGGCTCAGTTGGTGGAGCATTCAACATCTTGATCTTGGGATTGTGAGTTTAAGCCCCACATTGGCTGTAGAGATTACTTAAAAATAAAATCTTAAAAAAGAGAAAAGGATGAGTTAATAGAGATCAGCATGGGATTGAAAATCAATTCAATGGAATTGAAAAGCAATGAGGGGTGGGAGGGCTCACCTCTGGGACTGCAGAACCAGCCACTCTCAGAACTCGTCCCTAGAAAGTGAGGAGGCAGCAGGAAGTGGGGCTCCAAGCCCCAGGCACATGCGCTATTGTCCTCATTGTACTTCACTTAACAGAACAGAAATTCAAGGATAGAATTACCACTATCTAAGACAGTTTAATTAAACCCCAAGTGTGGGATGCTCTTGAGTCAGGCCCTGTGCGACTGTGACTGCATTGGTTGCACAACTTGAAGCTGGCTCTACCTATGGATTAAAAGAGATTTAAGAACTTCCTCAACCAATTGCAACATATGGATCTTATTTGAGGCCTTATTTGAACAAACATGCGGGACAGACCACAGGGGTAATTTGAATACTGATTGGATTTTGGGTAGGATATTTAGACTTACTGTTAATCCTTTAGGTGTTCTAATTGTACTGTGGTCATGTTTAATTTTAAAAAATGTTCTTATACTTCTAGATACATACCAAATATTTACAGATGAAATAGCATGATGGTTGGGATTTGTCTTAAAATAATGTAGGAGAGCAGCTAGTGGCTAAAGGCATGGATTAAAAAATGACCAGGAATGGATAATACTTGAAGCTGGTGTTGAGTAGGAAGGTTCATTAAAGTAGTCTCTATATTGTTATGTACTTTTTAAATTACTTTTCCCTGCTAAAATGTTACAAAGAATTATAATGTGCTTTGATATAGAAAGATTTAAGTCCTACAATTCAATCCTGGAATATAGGAAGGGTAAGTACCATTTGTATTATTTTGTAATTAAAAACTTTTTTTTATTTAAATATTTTTATTTATTTCTAGGAGAGAGAGAGACAGCATGAGCAGGAGAGGGTCAGAGAGAGAGGGAGACACAGACCCTGAAATAGGCTCCAGGCTCTGAGCTGGCAGTCAGCACAGAGCCCGACGCGGGGCTCAAACCCACGAACCGCGAGATCATGACCCAAGCGAAAGTCGGACGCTCAACCGACTAAGCCACCCAGGCACCCCATTAAAAACATTTTTTTTAATTAAAAAATGCTTTATACAAGAACAGCTGTACTCATAATGAATACAGTAAACAGTGTAGGGGCTTCATCAATAAGTGAATATATAAACAAAAAATAATATATATTTATACAATGGACTACTACACAAAAATAAAATGGAATGAACTTAAAAAAAAGTTTATTTATTTTGAGAGGGGTGGGGGAAAGGCAGAGAGAGAAGAGACAGAATCCCAAAAGGCTCTTTGCCCTCAGCTGTCAGCATGCAGCCCAAAGCCGGGCTCAGTCTCATGAACGGTGAGATCATGACCTGACCCAAAATCAAGAGTCTGGATGCTTACCAACTGAGTCAAGTAGGTACCCCTAAAATGGAATGACCTTTTGACTTACACATCAACATATGAGTATGAAAAACATTATGCTAAGTGAAAAAAGTCTTATCCCACAAAAAGTACCACTGTATGATTCCATATATATCAAGTTCTACAAGATGTGAAACTAACTTTTGATGAGAAAAAATCAGAACAGTGGTTGCTTCTGGATGGGTGGAAAGGATTGAGCAGGAAGGTATATTTGAGACCTTTCTGGTAATGGTACTGTTCTATATCTATAGATTTTCGGTTAATTACACAGTTGGTCAAAACTGAGGGAATGTTCATTAAGATTTGAGCATTTTATTGTATGTGAATTTTACTTTAAAAGAAACAAAACTAAATAAATACTGAGTACTAGTTAATGAAATATTTACTTAAGTAAATAGGGGGAAATATAGTGAAACATCAAAAAAATGGATGGAGGGATAGATAAATGGATAGATGTGTGATAAAACAAGCATAATAAAATGTTGATAAGAGAATCAAAGTAGTGAATTTATGAGTGCTTACTGTCAAATCCTTTCAAATTTTCTAGATGTTGGAAATTTTTCATTATAAAATGTTGGGAAAATAATTAAAGGGAGCCATCTTCTGGAAGAAATTGGTATTACTGATTGGCTCAAAAATACAAGAAAAAGGAAGCATAGTGTTTGTATCGTTCAGTATGTAGTAACTGCTTATTTTTCACATATTCTATTGGTTCTCATGTGCTCAAGCTGTCTTCTTTGGCTGGAAATATTTCCTCCCTCCAACTGGCAAACTTCTTACTCATATTTTTAATTCATCTAAAACAGAGGTCTGTAAATAGTAAATATTTTAGGATTTTTGTGGGCTAACAGGCAAAATTGAGGATATTATATAGGCACATATAAGATAAGATAATTTTCACAACATTTTCATTGATGAAATTTAAAATATAATCACAGTACTGAGTAAGAGTTTTGGTAAAACAACTCTATTAAAGAGGAAAATGAAATTCTTTGGTAGAGGATAGGCATTTCTCTTAATTAGGGTTCAAAGTTATTTCCTACCATTAAAATCAATTAAAAATGTTTGACTTTCAATTCTGATCTATAATGAGATTTTGCATATTTCATCTTTGAAAATGTGTTTTCACCCCTGCTCGATACTAATACTGATCCAAGGGCATATGATAATTGAGCATGTCAATATTTTAGAAGTCAATTAAAGAAGTAGGTTATTCTTTTGATATTTTCTTTTTAGCATGATTAATAATAATTTCCAATTGAAAATTAAAAGGAAAGGTAATTGCGCAGTGAAATGGGTCTCAAAATACGGAATTTTCCTTTGTATTTGCATGGAGGTCTTTCAGTACTGACCCTCCCCTGCTGTCTCTGTCTCTAAGAAATAAATAAAACATAAAAAAATTTAAAAAAATAAAAATGAGAAAATAAAATACAAATTCCCAAGGGGTACCTGGCTGGCTCATTTGGTAGAGCATGCAACTCTTAATCTCAGGGTCATGAGTTCAAGTCCCATGTTGGGCATGGAGCCTACTTAAAATACAATTTAAAAAAAAGAAGAAGAAAGAAAGCTAGAGAAAAGAAAATGTTCTGAAGAAAATCACAAATTCCCTTTCATGCCTTCAAATGAAATTATAAACTCAAAAGGCTACTTTATATAGATATTCTCTAGAAGAATTGGCAAACTATGGCTCATGGACCAAATCCAGCCTACCTCCTGCTTTTATACAGTCTACATCTAATCATAGCTTTTACATTTATTTATTTTTAAAGTTGTAAAAATTTATTTTTAAAATGTTTGTTTATTTTTGAGAGAGAGAGAGAGAGAGAGAGAGAGCATGAGCACATGAGGTAGTGTGGGACAGAAACAGGGGAAGACAAAATTCCAAGCAGGCTCCAGGCTTTGAGTTGTGAGCACAGAACCCTCTATGGGGCTCAAACTCACTAGCCATGAGATCATGACCTGAGCCGAAGTTGGACACTTAACCAACTGAACCACCCAGGCACCCCAATTTATTTATTTTTGAGAGAGACAGTGCAAAAGCAGGGAGAGAGAGATGGACAGAAGATCTGAAGCGGGCAGAGAGCCGGATGTGGGGCTTGAACTCACAAACTGTGAGATCACGACCTGAGCCAAAAACAGATGCTTAACTGACTGAGCCAGTCAGGTGCCCCTACATTTTAGTTTTTAAAGTATATAGTATTTTTTAAAGTTTATTTATTTTGAGAGAGAGAGCAGAGAGGGAGAGAATCCTAAGCAAGCTCTGCGCTGTCAGCACA